GCGAAATCAGCCCTTATTCAAAAATAACTTTTAAACAATGAATTTTAAATTTAAGAAATTTATTTTTTGCAATATTAATTTATCCAGGTGGCTATTATTTATCCAGGTGGAAATCCACATCACCAATTTAGACAGCTGTCGCGCGCGTGTAGTCCCAACAGGAGTAGGTGGACGAAAAAGGTGTACGCGACGGAGGAATAAACAAGTTCGGGGGGGTAATTAAAACGAAATTTAGTTTAGGTGTACACTGTATAAAATGCTTCAAGTTCAGGGGGGGTAATGAGTACTTCTGCCTAAAATAAATAAACTGTATTTTGGTTATTTAGAATTGAGAATGAATACGAAATCAAATATCATTAGGACGAATACAAAAATCAAATCTAAATACAAACTATTTGGTATACAAAATGATATTGTAAATACAAAATAAGCAAAATAAGATAAAAACTTTGTTTTACATATGCAATTAGGATGAATACATAAATAAACTTATTTTTGTTATTTAGAATTGAGAATGAATGGACAATTAAGAACTTCTATTCAACAATTGATTCATCAAGTTCCATGGATTCAAGAAGAGTCTTTTTGGAACCATCCATAGAGCGGCGGCGGCGGAGATCTGGAACCCGACAAGGAAACCGTGTGAGCCCTAAATCAAAATCACAAGAAAATCGAAAAAATTTATTTAAAAGACTAAAAATCTGAAATACATAAATATTTGATGATTATCTAACCAAACTCACATTCTACTAAATCTGAAATACTAAAACAAAATCATAAGAAAATCGAATTTTTTTATTTAAAAGACTAAAAATCTAAAACACATAAATATTTGATGATTATCTAACCAACTCACATAAAAATCGAAAAAATTGACGGAAAATCCGTAATATATAAAACCCCAAAATACAAGATAATCGGTGATTTTAAAAATAAAAGCAACATAAATATCACTAAATAATCAAAATTACCTTTAACAATTGAGATATTTCTTGAGTTAAGTTAGAGATTTGTTGAACAAATTAGGAAAACCATTCATAATTTGTATTTCTTGACCTGCAAAGAAATTTGAAGAAAGAGAAAATATAAAACTTGAATGATGGGGGGAAAAGAAACGTGAATGATGGGGAAAGAAGATTACTCGGTATTTTTTTTTTCTTTTTTCCTTTTTTATTCATTATGGGTTTAGAATTTGGTCCAATGATGGACTGTTTTGGGGGGAAAAAAGGGTAAAATAAATAATAATATTTGAATACAATTATTTTGTAAAGTATTGACATTTTGACATTTTAAATAAATACTTTAAAGTGTAGTTATTTTGACTAATTATGTTAGGTATGTTGACTAAATTGCTAATTTTCCCAAAAAAATGTTAATCATGTATAAATAATAATATTTTCCGCCGAAGGGGTTCAGATGAACCCCCTAACTCTATGCTAGCTCCACCTATGCTTATACTCCAAACCGTTTCGCATAATAAGGGATAAAAGGAGTATTTATTTCGTTTGGTACATTGAGAAAGTGAATGTAACTTCTTATTTTTTCTTATTTTTCACCCGATATTCAATACTTACATTGTGATTCGACTAACTTGAATTTGAACTCGCACAAAAAATCTTGCTTTGACATTGAAGCGCTCTATTGAAAAACGATTTTATATTCAGAGTTTGAATTCGAGACCCGTCTACTTGGTTGATTAGTCAATGCTCTATAGTCTAGAGTATAATGATGGAGATGCTAGTATAGTGGGCCTACAAATGGGCCCATCTCAAAGTACTCTTGGGTCACTTGGCCCTGTTATAATTTCGGCTATGTTTTGAATCCTTACAATTGGTGTGGGCCCATTAACCTACCATTTACCCGCACCGCCACGTGTCCATTCTTATTTTGTGTTTGACTGATCATAAAATTTTAGAATGTTAATTTGATCTCGGAATAATTTGAGAGACTTTCCTTCGTGTTTAGTTCTATAACACTAATCTCTTTTTTGGTTTGTAATTTTACGTTTGCATTTCTTATTTTTAATTTTAATAGCTTATCAAAGTGTGAAATTGTGAATTTACTTTCTAGGCTAGGAAGGGGTATGGTCTTAAAAGAAATTTTTATAATTTTTATATTGCGATTCGAGTTTCTGAAATTTCTTACAATAATTTTTATATTATGTAATTTACTTCTTATTTAGTGTTCGAAAAACTCGATGAAATAAATCAAGAATAGTCAATATCATATATTATATAGTTTTTTTTAGCATTTGTGTTGTGATAGGTGACAAACGCACGCATATGCAATTTCTCCACTATCCAAAAAGCTTTTGGTGTAATTTTGGTGTTTGTGTCCTTTTAAACTTATTTGAATGGAGTTTTTTTTATAATATATGTAGTTTCTCAATTTTTTCAATTATTTATATACGACATTAATTATAACTTGTTTGGATATTTGTTACATGTAGTATATTGCATATCGTATTATTACTTTAAATATTGTTATTTAAATTTTTATTGCATTGTATTATTAGATTCATTGTTATGTAAAGATGATATGTCTCAGTTTATGCAATAAATGATATATTGTGGTCACATCGTTATCTTATTTTTTCTCATTTTACTACTATTTATTTAATAATTTTATTTTATATTTTATACTATCTTTTTTCTTAATAATAATTTTATTTGTATCCTACTTCTTTTTTTATATATATATAACAATGTAGGTTTTACTTTTCATTTATTGGTGTGTAACTTTATATATCGACTAAAGACAATATTATCTATCCAAAAGTTATCTTCATCAAAACAATGTAATATAAGACATTATGAAACGATACGTAATAATTATCCACACAAGATGTTAATTAGATGTGTAAAACACGGTATACCATCAAGAGGTGTAATGAGCTGTTCAGTAACCTTTTTGATAAAAAGAGTGGTAACCCTTTAGTGGACTTATTCAACACAAATTTAAATTAATCGGATCGGTAAATTTCAAACGTAATTTTTTTTAAAACATATCAATATATTTTTTTAAATTTTGGCGTGAAGGCTCACTGCCACACATATTTGTTTTGCCCTTAAAAGCATATAAACATTCATAAAAAGCTAAGCCCTCAGACTCCTTTTATGACTTCACTAATTAATTAAATTTATTAAAGTGGATTTTATTAAAAGATGAGAAGAAATATAATAAATTACAATTAAAAGTGAAAAAAAACATTATTTTTTTTACCTCATTATAGTTTTAACTGAAATAATCTGACGTGGAAGTCTATGAAAACAGGCTTTTTTGGGTATTTTATGGGAATTAATTCTTTTATAGTTATGTTTTTACTTTACTCATTGGAATTGAGAAAAGATTGTTTGAGAATATACTGTTGGTCTTCTGTTTGGCAATGATTTTTTTTTTATCATTAAAAATTTCAAATACAACTTAAAATTTCTTATCGTGAAATTTGATTATTGATGGTTTGTTTTTTATGCTTCGATTATCACATTATTTTTTTGATATTATGATTTTTTTAATACTTTCTTCAATATTTGTTTTTATCTTCCTTACCACTATGTTCTTTTGTATGCATTATTTACGTCGGTAATTTTCTGAAAGCAACTTTTCTATCTACATAAATTGTAGAAATAATTTTGTATACACTCTATATTTTCAGACATTATTTACGAAATTTTACTAGATAAGTTGTTATTTTTGGTATAAATCTTCTTGTTTGGGAAGTAATATATATATCTTCAATAATGAAGTAATCCATTCGTTTCAATTTATTAGTCTTTTTTAGAGTCCATTGTAAGAAAACGTTTCCTATTGCTTTATTGAGTATAACTCTTTAATTTTAAGTTTTCATATGATATATTTAAGATCACACAATTATAGACATTTTGGTTCTAGTTTCTTTATTTAAAATCATAAGTTTTAAAAATATTTTTTACTGTTTAAATTTTCGCACTAAGTCAAAACTGGATAATCAAATTAAAATCGATGAAGTAATAACACTAGAACTATTCATCAAGTGACATCATATAACGAAGTTGGTTTCAACATTTTTTATGGGCTATTATTTTATTAATGTTAATTAACTATTTTATTCGTAAAATAAAAAAGAAAAGAAGTTAGTTATCAACAGTTGCTAAATTAATATGTAAATAAAATTAACAATTGTTTATGTGGTATTAATTAGCTGTGATTTTGCTATTAGAATCAGATGAACAATCAAAATGGATTTGTCAAATCAGAGACAGCTAATAAATTATTGTATTAGGATAAAAAAAATAAAAAATCAATTCAATATCATTGTAGACCATAGTTTTAATTAATTTCCTTATTTATCCTGTTACTATCCTTATTTTATTATTGTTTTCCTTATATAATATAGAGTTATGGACCATGAAGGTATTAATTAAAATAATAAAGAAGTTTGAGGAGATGTCACAACATGCAAAAGAAAATAAAAACTCATTTGATATTCAATATGGGTATTGAAGTCCGATTAAATTTGAATTCACACATTGCATGACTTATTTCTGAGGTCGACACTCTATATATAATTTTGCTATTTAGATAGAAGGAATTTTAACCACTTCGCACAACCTGCGATATTACAAGAGTTTATGCTATGAAATATTCAAAATAATTATTTCTAGAATGATTAATTGTTTGTTACAAATGAACCACGTTACAAAATCTTTATATTATTGATTAAAGTTGTTTAATTTATTTATTTTTTGGTTAATAATTTGGAAAAAATAAGTTGTAATAAGAACCAACCTACAAGTTTGACTTAGAGACATGTTGTTGAGTAATTAATGAGATCAAGATGCAATCAAGTGCTTAACAATAATTTAAACCTAATAACTAATTCAACTAACTCTTAACAACTACAAAAAAAAAAAACTTATTTAGGAAAAAATAGAGTATAATTAGATGAACTAAAGAAAGAATTTGCAAATAAAGTGCATTTTTGGAAGTTCTTATTTCATTTTTTTCCTAATAAAAATAACAACCTCCTTATTTATTAATTGACTTAAATAATACAACAAAATTTACTCTATCAACTAAAATATTGATTCACTTTGACACTATGTTTTCCTTCAAATAAAAATATGATTTTTTGGCTATAGTAAAACACTTTTACAACATCAAATTCAGAATTTAAACTTTATGAATTTCGTCAATAATTTCAAAATACCTTATACTAATAATTAAGTTCATATAAATACAAAATTTGAACAAAAACTATTAAATTCACATAAATCATAAGTTAAAAACATACACTTCAATTAATTTTACGAGTTACCTGCTATCCTAATATGGTAATAGTCTAATAGAACCTAAAGTTACAGCTAGATTTGTTTTTTAGATAATGGTCTACTATTAAAAAATAATAATTCCCTCAAACAATAATAAAATTATTACTCCATTATGATTTAAAAAATACAAAAAATAATTTTAGCTGGTGTGGGGTTATTTAAGCTCATATATGAGCTGGATCCACACTCAATGGAAAAGACCCCACAATAATTTATTACTATAAAAAAAATATTTATTTAATTTTTTTTTATAAAATTGGTAATACTAATAATTATTTTAATATAACCAAGATAAAAAAAAGAAAGAAAAAAGTTTGACAACTCCAAGCACAAACACCCATGTTCTTCATACCAAAATATATATATATATATATATATATATAAAAATTGTAATTCTCATCCCCTTGTTTCCTCTTTTTGTTCTTCTCTTCCTCTTAAAGCCAAAAAAAAATTAAAAAAAGATTTTTTAAAATTTATTTAATTTTTTTATAAAATTCTCCTTGTCTCTCTCTTGAAATTTTCTTTCAATAAGTTACTGATATGATTCCTTATGGATGTACCAATTAAGATATGTACTACTAACTTTTAAGATACTTTTGTTCTTGTTTTGGGGTATTTTTTTTTCCAATATTTTTTACTTTTTTTTATGTAAATTTGTTGAAAAAATTTCAAAAATTTGAAGAAAGTATGAATCTTGGTGTTGGGTCAGTGGTGAAAACCATGTCTGGTGCTAGTTGTAGTGTTTCTTGGAAATCCGGTGGTAGTGATAAAGTTTCCGACCAGTTTCC